ATGCCACGAAGATAGTACACCTCCTGCAAGAAATATCCAAAGAACCAACCATTCGAGTACGAACATTCTAACATCCGACACAAGGTATTATGCTGAGGACTGCAGGAAATGGGTTGCCGACAACAGTATGCATAAACAGGTTAGTATGGCAATTGTTTGAACGATAAGATTGATATGTCTAAGGGTATGTAAAGGTCTAAGGGCATAAGGTATGTCTAGGCTTTTCAGGATCCTGTGTATCGGGTTAAAAGTTCGTCAGAGTAGAGTATATGATGCAAAAAGCTGGTATTGGATAAGGTTTGTGTGGCAAACCGATCCTCACGAAAAATCTAAACGAAAATGTTCGTACACGCGGAAGTTCGTTGGGAAAAAGGCCGCGCCAAGTTTTTCGCACGCAGACAATCGTCGCTGATCAAGTTCGTGTGTAGCACTTCGCAAGTCATGTTATGTTATGTAAGCTATGCAAGTCATGCAAGTTATGATGTAGGCATGTCAAATCCGCACGCAAATATCCGTCAGGGTAAAGTTTGTTTGACAAAGTCACGTGCGCAGTCTACTATGCGGATGTGTAATATAAGTTATAAATCAAATCTTCATCCTTGGCGCAGGGCCCCTGATGAACTATAACAGCGGGGCCACCACATCTCGTGGACCAGAGAGGGCGGCGGCGGACGGCGAAAATTGCATAGGTCGGATCAAAGTCGCTCTTTATTCCATCAAATTAAATGTCCTACAGCGGCCAGGAAATAAACACGAGTCGATGGTAGTCAAAGTGACCCTGGGATTGAAAGGACGGAGTGAAAAAACATCCACAGCAGATCACCCGCAATTGCTGTCGTATTCACCTTTATCCTTTGCATTGCATTGCCAGCGTTTCTGTCGACGCCTCCGCCTGACGCCTCTTGAGCGCGCCACCGACGCCAGCTGACGGCCGCGGCGGCAGTCAGCTGGTTAGTAACATACGGCGGGCTGACGTGTGAGCGACGGCCCGCACGATCACTTACGTAATGTAAATCATGTTCCAGAGAGCAGGCTGCGCCACATTTCTCGCTTTGATTGAGACCTGTTTGCAACCGACCCAACATTACCCGAGAGGGCTATAACGTTCGATAGACGTAAAAGAGGAATTGTCGGACCATTCGCGTGAGGTTATCCGGCAGACTACATTCATGACACCCCATGATTTAGTACTGGGTGGTCGATCTACCGCGAAACTCATCACGTAGGGGCATTATCCGTACACATTTGCTATTAAATAATAAATGCTTGCGATCTGTCGCGTACTACTGTTAAACGACCTTTATCCTGTATAAACTTTTGCGTACGCACGACTGCTTACGGTCTTTTACGTGCGTACTTCTGTCAAACGATCTTCACCCCTTACAAACATTGGCGTTCGCACAACTATATACGGTCTTTTGCGTACGTGCTCTTCAAACGACCTTTATGTATTGCAAACGCTTACGTGCGCGCAATTACTTACTGTCTTTTACGTACATACTTCTGTGAAACGACTTTTACCCGTTACAAACGTTTGTGTACGCAGAACTACTTATGAACAACTGCGTACTTCTTTCATGCATAAGAGCTTTTCCGTACAAGCTTTTACCCTGAAGAACCTCCATTGATGTGGATGCCACATAGGTACTTTCTACGATACGAACAAAGCATAACAACTTTTGCGCACAGGCTTTTTTGAGCATACTTCTATTGTGAGAGCTTTATACTGTGCGTATATTTGGTTGCAGACAACTGGGTACGTGCTTAAAACATTCATACTTTTTCCAAGCGAACGTTTCTTCCAAACCATGCGAAACACGGGTGATTCAGCTAGAAGTTTACAATGACCCATATCGAGTTAAATATGAAAATTACTTCCCACAAAAGCTGCAGAGAACGGTACGTTTATGCTCCCATCCACAGCAGTGTGAACCTCGTCTGATTCAAATTTCCCTCTTTTCCGTGAGAAACAGCACCCGGAGAAACAAGTGAGGCTAGACGCCGGTGTCGCGCGTTTTCGATTTGACGCTATATCACCGTCAAGAAAAAGACATGGAAAGATGAACCAAACAAATAATTGCGTATGCGAAACCCCGGTTTGCACATGACCAGCTCTGCAAACAGTTGAATGTCGCGGTCTGATCGAGCGGTTTACACGGCCTCGGACAACATGGACTAACCGTCCTATTGTTATCCTCCCCCCCCCCCCTTACGAGATGGGGCCTCAAGAGGCCCCTTTCCTCCTAAGGTTTTCTAAACAAGCTTCCTATCAGACAAACTTTATGGAAATATTTCAATAGCTACATCACTTAAAGATACATTAGTATCTTTTTAGTTGCTTTTTTAAAGCCAGGTCATCCAAGGTCACGTCAGGTCAAAACCTTAATTGTTGTTACCAGACCCTCCAGAAATCACAGACCTAAACCTTAATGACCATATTTAAAGCTTCAAAATGCCTTTCCAACATTGGTCTCCCGTTGGATGTGGCTTGCCATGTTCTTCATGTTACTAGACGGACCAAAGCAACAATTGCCATCCCTTATTTGAGCTGACATGACTTATTTCAGGTCACATGTGTCAATGCTTACTGGTGCTTACCTAATCCAGTTTTCCCAGAGTTAATCAACGCCTCCTTCCGCATTGCCGTGGCATGCGTAGTTCTTGAGAAAACAGGAGTCTGAAAAAGATAACTTCACCACTGTGACCTGAAGCCATTTTAAAGATCATACCGTTATCCGGTCGCACTAATCTAATGCAGTTTGAAGAGAGCTTTTTGCTGCCGTCTTCCGCGCGGCTCTACGTTGCTGAGTTTTCGACGTGTTAGAGATCCTCTGGGACCCTTCGCATAGGTTTAATGAAAATAAAGTCTTGAAGACAGCTTTGTTCTAAGTTTAAAACACTCCCGTAAAGCGAGAGACGAGGTCAACGCTGATTTCACTTCGTATAAGAAAGGCCTTCAGTTCCTGATTTTTCGGCACTTTGTTATGTTGACCTAACGACCTTCAGTATGCAAGGAGGTAGTATTTAAACGGCGTGGTAGTGCAAAATAGCAATCACGTTTAAGGTCTCCATATTTTGAGCTGTGCTCACCCTCTTGATGATAAGTGCAGCTCTACATATTGAACAACGCAAATGTAATTATTGTTTAGCACGACATCGTTTTACCTGCACCTCCTGGTATGTTTAATTTCGTCAATTCAACATAAGACTTTTCAACTCAACTGATAGTTTCATCTGGCCTGAAGCACACGACGCGTCCAGCTTGGGTAGGATCTGTCACAAAAGTGTTAATGGGTTGAGGGCAAAACGGATACGGAGAATGTGGCGTATAATGTATATCACAACTACCGTACTGGGATGTTTTACGCAGAAGAAACAAATGTAGCATTCGAGACCGGTTTAATGAACACCTTGGAGTAGCACGTTTGCGTAGTGCATACACCACTGGATGTGGGCGCTCCCCGCGCACACCTACGTAGTGTACACACCACTGGAGGTGTGCGGTCCCTGTGCACACCTACGTAGAGTGTACACACCACTACAGGTATGCGCTCCACGTGCACAGCTGCGCTGTAAGCCGATACGGAGCAATGGACATAAGCGTTCGCCCTAAGCTCTTTCATGTCATAATTGCTGAGACTAAGACTCGTAGACCTGCAGACAGCTATGACCTTCAGCACATATGTAGTGGTACAGTTTAGGAAAGCACGCCATCGCTTTGCTTCTTTTTCGGTAAATGTCTTCTGAAGGAATTTATTTAAAATGGTACAACCCGCCCAATCGCCGGTTAAGTTGTATGAAACGGTGGGGTAAACTGTATTGCTGTTTTATGATACGCGGGGCAGGCTGCATCGCAAGCAAACTACATGCGTTACGATATGTGAACGGAATGCGCTTGTCTCTATCTCGCAATTCGCAGTGATTGTGGGATGGAAAACGATTTCTGTCCCTTTTTGTCAGTGCTTGTTTTACAACTACCGCCACCTAGGTTCGGCTACTCAGGTAGGAATCATTCGATCCACATAGGTACTGTAAATGTCTTCTTATTATCGGCATGACATTATGTCATGTTAGTCAATAACTGATAGCATATCAGTCAATGACATGACCCCACAATGACAGACGGCGTTGTCCCCCTAACTAGGGAGCATTACGTAGGGTTTTGGATTCCAGATCATGATATATGAACATCATTGAAAACAAACTCCATTTTGCACCATTACGACCAGACAAAATTTGCCAATCTGCTCGAGAGCTAGAGGCTTCAGTAAGACGGTGGAACGGGCCAAATCTGGACACCGAACACCTGTTTCAAACAAGTTGTCACAAATGTAGTAGAAGACAAGTTGTCCGCAAATTGACCTCAAACACATTTGAAAGCTCCCAAAATTCTAAGCACTTAAAACATACCATTGCTCATTTTTTCACAATGTTGTGTTCTAACCGGATTTGGCTGTGTTGAGTGCTTTAACGGTGTGCCCACCGATTGGCATCGGATATGCATTAGTGCTAAATCAGTGGAAGTCAATCACATTCCCCGTTATCGTGTGCGGAGGACTAAAGCACTGGGATCCCTCGCTGCAGAATAAAGTCCTGGCCCTGAGTCCGCTGCTTGTGACAGTATGGCACCATTTCGACTTAAGCTAAAGCTAGCCCGAACTGGTTCACTAAAATTTAGCATGGTAGCCCCCGTGCTGCTTTAGGGGCATCGTATGTTCCAAGCTACTGACTTTAGTGCGTTCGGTTATGGCGGACAAAAACAGGTGACAGCAAAACCGCATAGCAATGCCAATAGCAGTCGCGGGTTAGGCTTCATTTGATTCAGGAGCTCTATTGGACATCTCTTTACAAAGCTCTAAAGCGCGGGCTCACCAGTGGGCCGAGTTCTCCTTCAACAACTGATTTGTGTTTTAGCGCTTTAGTGCGCACGAATGATGCTTTATTTAGTATTGACAAAGCCTGACATCGGTTATGTTCCCTTCAGATAACCAAACGCCATATTCCATCTCAACGCGTCTATTGAGACATGCACAGTGTGTAACAGCAGACAGACTTCCGTGAGCACTACAAACTTTTTAGATACGTACAAAGCGGTTCACAGGTTTTAACTGACAGTACAAGCCACATGGTGGGCGCACTGAATACGAACCCCGCCTCAATAGACAGCCCGTGCTTGTTACGCTAACTGAAAACCTATTAACAGACGTTTGAAGCGGTGCCCTCTGTACAAGTCAAGCGACGTGCTAGCCTATCGCTGCCATCCATCGCACGGTCACATCATACCAAGAAATGCGCACGTTGTTCAAAAACATAGTTGATGCAGCAGTCGGGGAACAACATTACTATCAGGGCGGGCACACGCACGATGTGCTCATTCCTCGCGCACCAGGTGCTGCAAGGGGACGCTGCAGCACAGAGGGCTTCATTTCACGTCCAATGAATCTCTAATTTCAATGTGAGTGACTTGGAAAATTCACGTTTCAAAATTCGTTTGGGAAATTCGCCCTGCTCGTCAGGCAAGGAATCGCACCAAATAACGAATGGTGTAGTGTGATATCACACCTCTCTGTCGCAAGATTACAAATCACAAGATTGGACAAAGGGTTCAGCTGAATGAAAGGTTATTTGCAAGGACAAATCGCGAAATGTTGAACCACCGGCTAAGGTAAACGTGTTTCTTTTCCGAATGTCCAGAAGCAACATGATTGACAAATAACAACTGACGCCAAAGGTCCAGGCGGAAATTGGTACAAGTGTTTAAATGAATCCCACACCGCTGATGTCACAAAGCAAAGGTCTAACCTACAAACTCTGGCGAGAAGGTGCTTTTGGGGCCAAAGGACGTGCGCCATGAAGCACCAGTTATGCTGCAGCCGCATGCAGTATGTACACATTCATACTATCAATTCTTCTCTGAAATATCGACTCACTAAAACGAACAACTCTGGGCCGCAAAAATTGGTTATATAAAGCAAATGTGATGCATGGGGCAATGTTAATAAAGAAAACCTCAGGGATTTTCAATGAAGCATGAGCACGAAAGATATCATAAGTATGATGACTGCATGACACATGACAGCACTTCCCGTTTGTGTACTAGACCCCAGGCATAAACTTTTAGGCCTCCACACAGTTTGCAGGAATGTTTTCCTTCGCGCTGTCATCGTCTTCGGGGTCCGCCATTTCGCTGTCTGTGCCCAGCGCCGCCGTTCGTTTGGCCGTCGGTCTATACTCTTCAAATATCTTGCTAGGTTGCGTGACGCTCTGTTTGCCCGCCTCCAATGCCATAGAACGCTCGCCATCCTGATTGGTCGCCTCCGGCATCTTCGCACGCTCGACGCTCCGGTCGGTCGCCTCCGGCGTCTTCGCACGCTCGACGCTCTGGTTGGTCGCCTCGAGCGGCTCGGCGCCCTGATTGGCCAGCTCTGGCTGGCTGGCACACTGCTTGGCCGGCGCCACGTGTTCGGCGGCGATTTGCCACAGGCGATTGGTGAGCTGCACAGCAGAGAGCGTAGCGGGGTCCAAACTGAACGTGACGTCAGCACTTGGTTCGAGAGAGACAGTGCCGCGCACATCAGGACCGGTGTGCTGCGAGTCGAGCCGCACGTGACCACACAGCTTGACGTACGCCGAGAAGGTGGCCCTGCCAGGCGGAAATCATCAGACGGCGCATCCAAGTCGACGCAAGGGATGTTGGCGGCGCCCTAGCCGCCACCTTGCATATGCAGAATAAAGCACGCAACACTGACTCACTATTTACGGCAGCCGAGATGGCAATGCGCGCACGACCGAAAATTGGGTGAAACAGACATAATAACAGTAGGTAGACTGACTAATACCATGATATTACAGTCGCCGATATTTTGCTGCTGGGAATAGCCGCACCGACAATTGGGAAGGTTGGAATACCTGCTAATGGATGACTAGGCAACATGCGTCAATGAAATTAGCGCACCATAATGCTAAAATGCACAGTGTTTGTCAGGAATGGATAATGAGAATACACTATTGAAGGAACCGCGAAAATGATAAGCAAAGTGGGGCGTTACCGCGAAAAGAAGTACTGAAAACGATGCACGCATTTACTCACTTTTCTTTTTCCAACTGCTTGTGCTGAGGCTTCACTTTTGTATCAGTCTGGAGCTCTAAATTATTCAAGTCACTTTTCAGCTTGGCCTTCTGAGCTTTCACTTCTGACACCATCCTGAGGTTCTCGGTCTGCGGGTAAAATCAGCAAATGTGAGAATTTACTGAACTGTTGAAGAGATTGTTCCACATTTGGAGCTATTGAGGCAGGCATCAGGTATGATGAAAAAACTCACTTGTAACTATTGGACTGCCTACAAATGCAAAAGAATGCTATCAATAACACAATTTCACTAAGTAGTAAAAACGCTGCTCCATATGCCATCGTTTCTTTGTGTCATACAACGGTTCCATGACACCATAGTCGCTGCCTGGGTTGCCGCGTCTGAATCGTCGCTGTAGTGGACGACATAAATTACTTTTGGTACTTGTGCGCACCGCAAGGTGGCGTTGCTGTTTCAAGCGTGGGAATTCATGAGCGCTATAAGCGTGTGTTGGCCTTCTCTCGTGATATATTTTGGTGACACCATGTGCCTTACTTGCATTTGCATTCGCGGCTATGACGGCATTCTTAGAGTGTTCCACACGCACATAGGGTATTGAACTAAACTAACCATATTGAAGACTTTTCGGCGCAGCTCACAGTCCTGCCCTTCTTGAGACCGAAACTCCTCTGTTTTTGAGTACATTTACGCCCGCGAAAATGGGGACATTATTTCGGGGAGAGTATGTCAGGGTCACGTTGGCAACCATGACATCAGAATAGCGTCATTCAAACTCTGCCATTCCATAAGCCGTGCGGGCGATAAGGCCGGTACAAATATAATGGCTGAGTCGTTCATATCTGGCGTTCGTGAGCACGATTTTCAGATGTAACGGCCGGCAGTTGGCTCTCTACCCATGTTGCGGGAGGTACAATAACGCAATCAATGACGCAGCGAGGTGCATACTTCACAGAGAAACTGTGTTGTCTAGAGCAGCATTTTCTACTTAAAAGTATACCAATAGTGACCTTGTTTTATCATATCTGGTGCCTCCTTTAATATCTTCAGACGTGAAACATTCCCTTTAAGTTATTCGATCTTCAGTCTCATGTCCGCAACATCTTGTGGTTGCCCAAATGCTTGTGTTATCAATAGCAAAATGCGGTTCGTGATCGAGACATGCAACCAGAAGCGCAACTTGACTGTCTGCCAGTTGCCATCCACCATTCACACACTAGGTACTGCATCACCGCAAACGCGAATGTTTCATAGGATACATCCTTCTTGACCATGAACACAATACAGCCAATGTGGCGGGACGTTCTCGCGACGTCTATATGTCTGGGTGGGGGTGGGAGGGAAGGTGGAGGGGCGATTTGCCCATAGGCGGTGCGTCCTAGGCTACACAAAATCGCATATACCAAGCCCAGAAATGTGGGTTTGATGTTTGCAAAAAGGCGTGGCTGTGTGCCGCAGAGAATGACCACGAAAATGACCATCTCAGTTCAGAATCCTTATTGTGGAAGAGACTCCTTAACGCTGTTACCGACAACGTTTATCATGGATCAAACTGTGTTATAGACGGTCACATCTGTTATACTATTTGCTAAGGATGCTGGAAACGTGCATAGATCGGTGACTTCACACACGAACATTGCCGACCTCGTTGATGAGTTCGGTACGTAAAAAGCACGTAACTCCCTTACATCTTACAAGGAATGTGCCGTACCGTCATTACAATGAAAAATACCGTATATATATATATATATATATATATATATATATATATATATATATATATGCTGCAAACATGCAAATGCCAACCGCCAGTCGGCTAAAAAATACCACGGGAGCAGATGCACACAAAGATGGATCGAAAATAACAGTCAGGCCGGGCGTCACGCTGTCTGGTCCGTCACAAATCCCAACAATTGGAACAACGCACGATTGGACTACACCCTACTCACACTGCAAGCTGGCATATGGTGCTTTCAAGGCCGTCGTCACGCAGACCGAGAACACAAACAAGGCAAGTAGATTGAGCCGGTGTCACGTCCGAGACGCTGTCGGTTGTTGGGCAGCATCTTACTTTACGTGTTCAGTTTGCTTGTGATAGTTTTGGTTATCATGTCACAAGGACGTGTCGAATCACATGCGCCAAGGCAATGGATCCCCGTGTATCGGATCCTCACCGGGACTTCAAGATGTTAACTGAATTCCATTTGGCGACAATCTTACAAGACGGGCGTGGCGGCCATTCGTGGTTATGATTCGGTGCTGCATCAACGCTTCTCCCACCTTCCCCGGAGGAGGCGGGTACATTTACGACCCCAGGAGTGTGCACTCTATCAGGAGCTCACCACCCCAAGTTCTTACCGCCTGACCAGCCATTGCGGTGTGGTGTGCTTGATCCGTCGGTCCTATTCCATAATATACTGACCCAAGCTCTTACCGTCTGACCAGCCATTGCGGTGTGGTGTGCTTGATCCGTCGGTCCTATTCCATAATATACTGACCCAAGCTCTTACCGTCTGACCAGCCATTGCGGTGTGGTGTGCTTGATCCGTCGGTCCTGTTCCATAATATACTGACCCAAGTCTAAACGGACACATTGTCGTGATTTTGTGCTATCTCTTAAGGGGGTTACAGGCATTTCAATGTTGCTCCACAGCGAAGTGATCAGTTACAGCTGCCTGTTCGTGCCCGGCGCACCCGTGGTGTCGACCTGAATGCTTCACATCATGATCTGCTGTGTACTGATTGGCGTGCGGTGATTTCTTCGGAGACGGTTGCACTTAAGTGATTGTTTTCTGGCAGTTTGTTAACATTACGTATTTACATGTTCCGGTGAAATCCATCCGTGCCCGCAACCCTAGGGTTCCAGCGGTGACCGACGTAACTAAAGCCCTCATGGCACGCCGCGGTGAAGCTTTGGCCGTTTTCGGTCGCAGGTTTCTACACTACAAAGAGCTCAATGGGGCTGCGCGCTCTGCCATTCGACGCGGCACCTGTGGGGGGATCCGAAAGCCCATTGCAGAGGGCGGTCACCAACCCGTAGAAACATAAGCTCAGCGGTAGGGAACGGAAAACCCCACCGAAATGTGCCAGAGGAGATCCCAGACCACCCAAACAGGTTTTTTTTTTCATCGGCGGAAAGCACAGGGTGAGACGTCTGTTATCCCCTACCGCCTCCCGTGCTTTGGAGCCTGAGCCTTCAAACTTTTACCACGGACATCAACGGGATTGCGCATGACCATTTTTGGTACGAACGCCTCGTCGGCGTGCGGGGACGATGGTATCTGCATGCGTGTGATCTTTCTCTGTTTTAAGGCAATGAGTGACGTGTTGCTCCCCTTGGTCACTTCCTGTCTATGCCTCTCCGAAGCGCCCGAGTCCTGGAAGCATTCCACCGTCTTCCCCATCTTTAAATCCAAAGATCATATAAATCCTTCCAGCTTCCGCCCCATCTCTATCGTCTCTGCCATAGCAGACTGTGGAGTATGCAGTCTATCAGCGGTCCTGCCGCTACCTCTCCAAAAACCATCTCATTTTCCTGAACCAGCACGGTTTCCGGCCACGCCAATCCACGGACACCGCGCTGTCTTCCACATCCGACGACATCCTAACTGCACAAGACCATGCAGGCATGACACCGCTCTCCTTGTCTGATTTAAGCAAATGCTTCGATGTAATGGACCACTCACAATAACCTAGCAAACCACGCCTGCACAACATCGATGCTTCCGGTTTTCAGCTTACCTCAGCCCCCCCCCCCCCCACAGTGTGGGAATAACTGACCGTTTCGGGGACTCTCGACTAAGCTGCCAAACAACATGGGAGTTTTTCAGGGATTGCCACCAGGCCCCCTACTCTACTGCATCTTTGCGAATAATCTTAGACTGTTCGCTGAGGGTGCAGTCGTGCAGCATGCGGACGACACCCAGTCTCGTTTGCGGCAAGAAAAGCTATTTTCAATATATTGTCAAACCGATGGAACACGTTCCGGCCTCTCTCGATGCTTGGTTTCGTGCGGACAGTCTTAAAGTAAATGCTGAGAAGACCCAGTTAATGTTGTTTGAAAGCCCACAAAATCTGGACAGCCCCCGAACTTCACCGTAAACTTTCGTGGGCACAAGCTATCCCCGCTTCGGAAGTGAAAAGCCTGGGACTAGTATTTGATCCATCTCTCGGCTGGAATTATCAAAATTCTTTCGCCACTGGCCACTGCCTTGACATTCTTTCTGGTCCATTACACCTGAGGAAATACTTGCCCCTTGTGTCATCTGGACGCTGGTGAGTGTTTTGGTCCTTTCGCAGATCCAATACCGTTTTTCGGTTGATGGGAAATCTCTCAAATCTCTCACTCAAAAATCTCTGTGGGATCCAAAGTCATCGACTTTGCAGCAAAAGTCGTCTTTGAGCGTAGAAAGCTCAATCACGTTTCGGATCTGCTGGACAGACTCGACTGGCTCTCTGCGGACAGCCTTGTAAATACCGCATGCTGACGCTTCTTTCATCAGATACTACGCCCTAGCAAGCCAAACAGGTTGGCTCGTGAGTTCTGGGAGGTATCTCAAACCCAACACTGTCACACACGGCAGGATGAAGACTTGTTCGTCCCTAGGTCACGTACTGAGATGGGGAGAAGGCGATTGCGTTGCCGGGCTGCCATCCGGTATAAATCCCTTCCCCGTGACCTAATACAACACCCAAGTGCGAGGTTTGCCGTGCACTGAAGCGCCATCTACTACTCCGACGTCCACCCTGACCGCGGAATGGCCCGATCCGTGTACGCACGCGCAAACACGCATATTTGTGTGCATGTTTGTGAGCTATGTAAGCATTTGCATTCGCATCCAATGACACCTTGCTTTAATGCTGCGACGATCGTCTTGACAAGCCACGGGTCCATCGCGGAGAGCCGAAATATACGTCTATGTCTACGTTACGTAATGTCGTCTACGTTCACAATGGTACTAGTACCTCTGGCTAATGCGAAGACACAAACACCCAACATCACAGCTGCTGGTTGGTGATAGCGACAAACGCTACAACACAGCTCACATGACATAATCGTATGTTGTAGTACCTGCAGTTCGACGTCCTTTTCCTTCGCCTTCATTATTTCCTGAAGCTTGTTGTGGTATGTCTGCATGTCTCGGACATCCTCGAAAGATCCCAGCTTGTCCGAGACTTCTGAAACACATATATCGCACGCAGCATGTGAGCGCCGCGCACTGGACAGTCCGTTGAGGACCACGACCGCTGCCAGCCGCCAGGCGACTCCTGCAGCCAGACCAGCCGTGGATGGTGACAGAGACACCTCCACAGCGGACGGAGCCGTCAGCTAGCCCTAACACCGCGACCGCTGCCAGCCGTCAGGAGACCCCTGCAGCCAGACCAGCCGTGGATGGTGACAGAGACACCTCCACAGCGGACGGAGCCGTCAGCTAAGGCTGCCGCGCGGTCAGAGGTCACACGGTACGGTTACTTTCCTCATATAATGTGTTTCGGCACATCATGTTTTTCCTCATATCATGAATTCAATCATACATGAACTCGCCAATATCATGCATTTTCTCAAAGCATGCATTTCCCCACGTTCTGTACTTCACCACGTCATATTCTTCCTCACATCATGTATTTCATCCTTTCACGTATTCACTCCTATCATGTTTGTCTTCGCATGCGGAGTGGGGCTACCAAGGGTTATTTACACATAACACTCCACAAATTATCAACTTGACGGCTAGGATCGAACATGGATGCCAAAAACGCACCACACTACCACGGTTCTAAACACCTTTAGCCGGCCAAGAATAGCAACCCTGGAGGCGCCCCGTGACGCAGCCAGGGTTTTGGAGGTATTGACGCAGGGAGGGCGCGCCTGTATAGATCCGAGCGCTGTTTACAAGGCGCGCCGCCCTGTCCTCGCGTGAAATCCGTGGCTCTGACAGGGGCCGCCTCAATCTTCGAAAGTGCAGGCTCGATTTGACAGCGTCTTTTCCTTTTTTGACAGTCTCGGCACGGAATCGCCCGCCATATTCTTTTAGCACCATCACCACACTACGCACTTTTAAAACTGGGACACACAATATGTGAGGAAAGCTTGTGGTCAAGATCGGTATTTTATCTTCATGACATATTGCTAATTTGCAAATGACGTTTCTACCTGACTGCATAAATTTAATACTGGGCTCTTCTGTGTGACAGCCAACCTAGGTGCAGTGTTTTCCTTGTGTACGGACGTGAAACAGGAAACCCCGCTTCTAGTTAGTTATTTCGTCTTAAGGGCGCATCGACTGCACGGTCACACAGCACCCTCGACAAAATGCTTGTCAGAACAAATCAGCAGCTTAAAAACTTCCGACGCGCGGTGTAAAGGAAAACCCACGTCGTGGACTGTTTAAAATAAACTGAACTAAACTGAACTGAACAGAGAAGGTTGTTGCCGTCAGAGCCTATAGCACGGAGAACCGCGGAGTGGACAGTTGGGAGGAATCTAGCCGACAGAAGTCATGCAGCAACAGCCGTACGGAAAACAAATGATTATGTATCAGATAGCCTAGTAATAAAGACCCAGGAAGCACAACAAACTGGCTTTGCGTGCGCCGCACCCTTTGCTAATTGTATTACAACTCTTTCGACCATTAATGATCATAAAAGGGCAATGGGACGAAGGACAATGAATAACGGTGGAGCAAGCTACATACATCTGGGGACCCAACCGACAAGATTACGCCCGCGCAGGGACCCCTCTGCAGGGTGTGCTAGGCGCTCGGACGGAGGCTCCACCAGGACCCCTTGCCCCATTTGTGGCTGGCGTATGTAGTCTGCCACGGACAACTGCAGTGGCGCGAGGACACTGATGTACTGTATGTACTGATGATTGTACTTGCTTAACCGTGCAGGACTTAGCAAGTAGGATGATACGAGGGCGAATCGTGGGCAGAATGCGTCAGTCTCTTCAGCTTTGAGCCTCTTAAGCTCTAGAGTTAGTCTCTTAAGAGCCAGTCACTTGGTAAACAGAGAATGACGATCAGGCACCACAGCAGCACCTGACAAACCTTCCTCGGCAATACAACACCACGGATCGACGGGAACCCGCCTGGGAAGCACACGCCGCCCAGTTCCAGGTCACGGCCAGTCAATGGACCAACGAAGAGAACACATACCACCTGAGCACCAGCACGGGTAACCCTGCGCCGATCCTGTTCTCCTGCACCAGCCGTACCAGCTGCCTCAAGTTTGCGGCTTACCTGGAGAACCAATGCAGACAGCGCCATCGGTATCAACAGAAACATGCCTCTCAACGGAATGGCTATGGCCATTCATGCCTACGGCGGAAGAACGAGCAGCTGGAAGACCTGGTGGAAAGATTCGAGTGGTGCACTAGGTGGGCCTACCTTGAAGAAAACGGGACGGGGTTCTGAAACCCGATGCACAAAGGCCCCGACACCTGTTGGCTTACGACGGCGATGGATGAGCGCCCGAGGAGGACGCTGCACACGCTGGAGTACGCCTTGAAGGCGCTTATGGCATAAAAAGTCATCAAGAAATGCGGCAGATATCCGCGCGTCGTTTGGTCAGGAATCAGCTCCAAATAGTCGCATCATCGGGAAAGGGCATCACCATTCGGAGGGATCACCAAGCCACAATAAATGCATGGAAATCACGCTGCCGTGCCGCGCCTGGCGGAAAGTCCAGGGCCTAGCTCAGTGCGGACGCGCCACCCACGAGCAAGGCGAAAGCGAGACGATCGCGTTTCCTGGAGGAGGCAGTACTAGCCCTGCCGAAGGCGAGGCTATACGGCCATTCACTGTAGGAAGTGCCAGCGGGACATGGGGCGAAGCGCCACACGGAAACAAAGGTTGCCGAGCGGGGCCCGACGTGAAACAGCGACAAGAAAACCCACAAATACTTGGTATCATTCAGCAATTTCAACAGCGCTAAAGATGACCTCTTCGCAAGCTGGACGGCTGGGGGAGGGGGGGGGGAGAGATCAGGTGGACCTGCCGACCGGCAGCGGAGCAGCGGCGCCGGTCATCGACGCACAAGCCTTCTCCGGGGTACCAGGTGGAGGAGCAAGTTGGAGCCCACCAGCGGCATGTGAATCCAGCAGTGGGTGACGAGCTGCAGGTGCGAGGACAAATGACTGGTAGCCATTGAAGCAGTTGAAAGGCCACTCAGCAGAGCTGGCCTCTGGCAGCGCTGGTCGCTAGCGTGCAGCATGACGACCTGCTGAGCATGGACTCCCTTGGAACAGCAGTCAAAACACAACAATGGTCCACTATCCATCAATGAGGAGCACTTCAGCACCTGTAATGCCATGGCCCCATATGGCAGTCAATGAGATCTTCTGACGGTTTTGTAATTTTCCATGCTTAAGTGTTGCAGTTAAGACAAATTTGAATCAACGGGTAATATCAAGACTGTGACCATGACCATGAACTGTATGTGACCATGGCCACAACCTGAACCATTAGACCACAAACAGTACTTCTGGTATAACTGGTAAATACAACAAAAAGTGATGTGCACCCAACAAAGCATGCAAATGCTGTCTTACCATTCATGTTTTCCTGAATAATATGGATGCTTTTCTCCAGTTCTTGCGTATTTTGATCCAGCATCTGCTGAATAGCAGATGTGTATGTAGAAGAAAGTGGCTTCTGTAGATCTTTCATCATAGCATTTAGAGAATCATCTAGCTCATCCTGAGCAGCCATGCCTGCAAACACCATGCATTCACATCATTTAAGCATTCATTGATTTCAATCACAACTTCCACAAGGGTAATGCCATAACACATGACTGTTTACTGCAAGTCAGCTGGTGGTCCATTCAACTATTTCAAAGGAGCTAAAATGCTGGACCTATCACTATAGATGACTGTCTATAGCTTGAAGAAAATCACACCACACATTTAGTCAAATCCACACATAACTATTATACTTTATCCTAACATTACTTCAATACAGAAATAAATGGCTGGAAAAACCTAGGGGGGGGGGGGGGGTGATGATTTGCTCCAATATGACAAGTACCTCAAATCCTGTGAGTCAATCATTGGTAATTCAACACACATGTTAAGTTATTGTTGAAACTACCACTTAAGTTTTATTACATGGGTGAGCAATGACACTAAGAATGGAGCTACAACAGTTAAATGTTTCACAGCTCCAAGAATGTAATACCCATGCTTTTCAATCTAGTATAGTTGGGCACAAAATGGCAGTTGTAGCTGATACACCCTAAGTCACTAATGCACAATAAATTTAGTATAGCCAGAATGCAAAAACTTCAATGTCAGGAAGTTGCATTATCACAAATATAATTTCTGACAACCAGAATTAAACCACCCTGCAACAATGGCATGTTTAGATGAATTCTAGGCAATGACCAATTTAAATGGCCTGATAACTTTGATGACCAGCACAGAACTGCTATCTCAGACACCATGTGTTGAGGTTATCACGAATGCTGACAACAGGATCACAACCAGGATTTTGTAAATGGGGACAGAGCTCAGTGAGCATTCCGCATGAGGGAACTGACGGAACTGCTCACGGTTCTTAAGTTAAAACTATGGGATGAAGGTGCGCCTGTCAAACGCTCTTCGGCCACAGCCTGCATCCCCACTTGTTTACACCTTTGCCAGGAGACTACAGCATTCCTTAGATATGCCATCACCCTGACACCTTCGTGCTACTACGGATCCAAAACGCATGAACTCAAAACACAACGCCGTTGCAAGAGCCAACAATTTAACTTTGATTCACAACTTGTCCCCACCACCGCCCAATCACCTTCCACGACCGCTACGCCGCAGTCGCAAACAACGCTGCTGAGGAGCAGCCGCCCGCAAATTCAATTTCAGCGCGACCTCCAACGCCCTCGGCTTCTGTTCGTGTGCATCAAACTACGCTCATCAGCGTTGATGTCTACTGCTTTCGACCAATAACAATCTCAATTCGAACTCCTTACCAATCCCAGCGTAGGACACGAAAAGCCATCAGCTGAGCAATTTTGTCAAGGCGTGCTGAATGATGCATACCAAAAAATGCGCATTTAAGAGCCAAAAACAGCCATTTTATCTCAGTAAATTTCAAAAATATTGTACCATTATGATATGAGAAATGGTCTTTATACAAAAATTTGAGAAAATATGAGATTTCCCGTTTCATACTACTAAATAAGTGAGATTCTTGTAGTCAGCTGAAGAGCGATTTGCCAGGTGCATTATGTTTGTATTGGGTGCGCAATAGTTGTGTACCAGTGGTCCTCAACAATTTTGCTCTCAAGGGTAGCGCGCATGCTATTGATGGGAGACTTAAGTGTTCGTTGAGTCATCATCACGGGGTTCTCAGTGGGCCGGGATAAAATTTACCCATATGGCAAAATCTTTGTAGCACGCAGCTTACATTATCTGCCCATACAGATCTTAGGGGATATCATCCTCCGAGTTCCTTGCAAGCCGTTTTGGATCATTCCTTTGTTCTTGTGGACTTAAAAATATTGAATTATGGCGAATATTGCCATTTCAAGGATTAAAAGGGAATTTAAGGAAGTAATTAAAAGTGAAGAGGTGAGTTACCTTTGCCTGAGAACTTTGTCATGCAAGGTGTCGGGTTGTTGATGGTATCCAAACCCTCAGCAAATATGCACCTGGGGAACCCCCAAGGTATCTGAGGAAGACACTCGGTGAAAACCCCCCACAAGATGCAGGATGGTGGCCAATGAGCGTGTCATTATTAACATTATGCTTACAGATAAGAGGCAAATGGCGTTACTGGGCAGGAGATGCGAATGGAAGAATACATTATGTAATGCGCGGGTTGTTCCAGTTATAAGTATTTCGTACATAAGATGTGTTATATGGAGCATCAACAAATGCTTCAGATGATGGACAGTGAAAGTAGCATCATATACATTGTCATTGGTTGCTACATTGTGTTGTGGTTTCTTTTATTTACTCTCCCTGAAGTGGCATTACTGATTCTTTGTGAAAAGTACAATGTTATGTAAGTTAAGGGTTGCATGTTATTATCTTGTCTGAATGCTAGTGCAGTGGGAGTTTTGATACTCACCATTTGAAACATTCAGACATAATTCAGCTAATGGTATGACACAGTTAAACTGCAATCAAGAATGAACATAAATCTGCCCTAAACACACTGTCACTACCTTTGGTAACCAACTAGCCCATACTGTCACACGCATTTCAAGGAGGAGAAATGCCAATATGGATTTCTCTGTGTTTGATTAATGTTATGTCATATTGATCATGTTCATTCATGTTTTATGGCTACAGACAGTTCTGGAATTTGCCTTGCCTGCTTCTCAATGCTATCTTTATTTGAATATTGGTTTTAGTTGTTTTGTACCATGACCAGAAACAGTGCAGGTAGTTGAGCTCATTGTACTGATATCTTATTTCTAAGATATATATTCCCTGGCTAGAATTGTTGTTTGCATTATAGTTATCATACAACATTTATCTGATTGCTCTTCAGCAATGAATTTTGCATTCAATGTCAATTCTTTATTTAAAACCCATTTTTATATATAGGCATTCCACACCATTTGGAAACTACATGGTATGGGTAGGGTTTGTGTGGGATGTTCACCAGGTGGCTGTGTTCAGATATGGCTGTGTGACCTGATCATAACACATCAAGAAACATCACATAATATAAATGTAGTGGCTTGGCTATGTCCAAAATGTAACTCCATAATTTCTTCCTGTTGACCACTGTGATCTCAAAGGCACCTGGTTGCCTGGGGAGACAACTTGTGTTTGCACTCCATCAGAAGATGAACTATCAAATTTGTGTGCAGAGATTTGGTTACATAACCTCATAGATACCCTATGTTAGATAACCTTACTACTTCAGGTTTGGTAATAAGGCTGATGATGAAGTGTTGATTATATAACCATAGAACTGAATGATGTAAACACATAGCATTGCTTAAGTGTAAAAGTTGTTTATTTCATGCTGGCTGGTCATTAGGTCTTTTGTGAAGAATGTTCTATGTGTTTTGATGAAATGCTCTGCTTCCTGCTTGATGTTTAGAAAAATGGGGATCTGTATGCTATGAGTGATGGTACTTCTTTTGGACAATGCCTGCATGAAAAGGGATGACCATGCTTCCCTATGTTAATGGTTGTTTTCAAATTGAAGTATGCCTAACTTTAATAATCAAATTAGGCATCCTGATTCACATTGGGTGTGCCCTGAAGTGTTTAGCTCTCACTTTTGCGTGCAGATCGCCAAGTCGATGATCAAGGTGGAGCTGGTGAATGACAACTACTCGCAGCTGCGTGGCGAGATTTCGGGTCCGCCCGACACGCCGTACGAGGGCGGCCACTTCGTGCTCGACATCAAGATTCCGGAGACGTACCCGTTCAACCCGCCCAAGGTCCGCTTTCTGACGCGTATCTGGCACCCGAACATCTCGTCGGTGACGGGCGCCATCTGCCTGGACATCCTGAAGGACCAGTGGGCGGCGGCCATGACGCTGCGCACCGTGCTGCTGTCGCTGCAGGCGCTGATGGCGGCCGCTGAGCCGGACGACCCGCAGGATGCGGTCGTGGCGCGTCAGTACAAGGAACACCCGGACATGTTCCGCAAGACGGCGCAGCATTGGACCAACAAGTACGCCTCTGGTGAGTGGCCGCCCAGCGGAGGAGGGCGGGGGTGGGGAAAGGGGGGAGGGGTGCGATGTGACGCAGCAGCGCCTGTCATCGGAAAGGCAAGCAGGGCGATCTGATCCGCGGTTTGCTTGGTCAGGTGTGCCAAGGTTGGAGCTGATGGAGAAAATTAATCCGCACTTATGTATGAGAATGAGCTGGGTGGGTGCGCCCACGAGCTACATGGCCTCAGCAGTTGAAATGGTCGTAAAGCCCGCCGTATAGCTTCAGCAGCTGAAATTGTCGCAAAGCCCCAAAAGCGGTATGTCCACGATGCGACGTAGCTCATTTGTCAACTGATGTACGCTCTCCACTGAGCCATTGTAGACTATGATAGCCTCCATTCAGGCTTGACTACGAGCGGGCGCGCTGCAGATGGGCTTGACGCCGCCGGTGCCGGTCAGACAGCCTCTGACAGCTGCTGGGCTGGTGTCGCCGCGCCCAGCCGGCCCTCTCTCGTGTGGTTCGCCCGTGACCAGAAGCCGTCGCCCGCAGGCCCCAGGGCGGTGCCCGAATTCGACGAAAAGGTCTGCAAGCTGCGCGACATGGGCTTCGAGGAGCAGACGGCGCGCGCCGCGCTCTCCTCCTGCGAATGGAACCTGGAGAAGGCCACCGAGACCCTGTTCAGCTAGGCGGCGGCGGCTCGTGGACAGTCAACAGGCCGCGCCGACGCTGGCGCAGCAAAACGCACTCCAGGCAAACCACGTCGAGGCCATCTGGAGATCATAGTCAGATTTATTTTCATAAGATCGGAACGCCGTGGGGTCAATCTTTTTCGCTGGTAAGGTTTAGCCGAATGTAAGAGACGTTGTGTCGGGATTCTTTCACTCCCCGGTCTCGCCGATCAGACAGAGTGCGATGTCGGTACAGTGCGATGATCGAACACTTACCGTTGAAGCGGTAGGCTAGAGGTGCCTCTAAGTCAAAATTGCAATGTATGATTTAAGCGCAAGTGCGCCACTTATGCGCTGGGTTTGTCCCGCTTTGTTACGAGGTCTAAATGAGGGGTGGGAGGCGGTCGGGTCGGCAGACCCTCTGCCTTTGTTCGGATAGCTTGGTTGGTCAGGCGCTGTCGTCTCGCAGGCTGGCGGATCGACCTCCCTGCGTCCGATCGACCGGTCACGGGAGCCTGACCGCCAGAACCTTCCCGTTAAACGCCGCCGAGAGAGCCGTACCGCCGCAGGGGTTACACCGCGGCTGGAGGCCGTCTGGTGCCCGGCTGCCGTTCCCCTTATTCCGTGCTGGTGCATCGTGTGTGTGTGTGTGTGTCACCGCACGGAGGCGCACGTGCTGCACGTGCACCAGCTGACGCCCACCACGCCGTGCCCGACGTCGGCGCGGTCCGCGCTGCTCCTGACGGCAGCCAGAGGTCTCTGACTGCCGACCGAGGCCGCCGGGCCGCCCGCCTCGAGAGAAGCCAGTTGTGCAGCCGTCTTCGGTCACCGGCGCCCAGGACCTTTGGCGGGCCCGGTAGGCGAGCGTCGCCAGCGTAGCCACCGCTCAGGTCTGCGTGACGGCCGCCTCCGTCCTCTGGATCGGCCGTCAAGCGCCGGTGCACCAACGCCGTCGCCACCAGCCGGCTGTCGGGGCGCCGTGCATTCTCTCCCACTGGCTGGAGCGACTTCACTGCAAACGCCACGAGTCTGGATCGGCGCCTTACCTGTTTACCATCGGTAGCGGCCAGGGCCGGGACTGTTCCGCTCCACCGGACAGGAGGCCTGTGCCTCCGCGCTTCACCCATCCGGTGACGTCACATTTGGCCCCGGCGCCGGCAGAGGGCGCCGCTGCTCCCACCCTCCGGACCCCGAGGCGGGAGGACGGCTCCCGCCTGAATGTTGGGGAGTGGTGGAGGGCCGCCCGTACGCTCCCGGCTGATGGCCGTGCGACGGACCGGAGCGAAAGACAGGCGCGGCGGAGGGGCGTCGGGCTCGAGGGGTGTTACGACGAGCGGAGGCCGCATCGATGCGCCGCCGGACCCACATGGAATGTGTTTTTCTGTAAATAAACGAGGTGAATTTGATAGTTGCTCGGCGTTTCCTTGCTTGACGTGGGCGGATGGAGACTGAGTTCGAACGGAGGTTTCTGTGGTAATTTGGTCGCTTGGTAACCGCAGACTGCCGAGTCGACACAGGTCGCAATGCGTTTAAATCGTACGATGATACTCGGAGATAAAAACTTGGAAACTT